TATATATATATATATATATATATATATATATATAATTATTGCGGATTTTTTCGCGGCTTTTTTTCCTCTCGATAGAAATTAAATATTGAGTTCGGGTTTTCTCTAGAAATGATCTACTTGATTTCCTCTACAACAATGTTCTCAAAGAATCATCCGCATAATCGCAAAATTAGGCTTTACTACTTCGAGAAAGATTGGAAGATGGCACAGTCATTCCACGATCCCAGTAACTTTTCAGCGATCGTTCATTAGGTGATCTAGTGAAAGTACACATGATTTCCTGGCGGTCAAACACGATCATTTTGATATTTTCCATTTCCCCTGCATTTTACCTGCCTCTACATATTAGGTTCATGCATAATTATTACGGATTGTTTCTAGCAAATTTTACTTAAAGAAACTATAGAAATACTAAGCAAAGACATATTCAAATAATTACTCTGGAACTTATTCACCATCTACGTCAGGCACTGCTTCCCATTGATTAGTTAGTCGTCCCAAAAGCGAAGAAGTTTTGGTCCTTACGGGCGATCCACGCCTTGACATCGGCCATCAAGTCATCCAAATCGACGTAAGTCCCATTCCCAAGCCATTTTTCGATAAACGATTGACAAGATAATCCATAAAAGTTTCTGCTGGTGAATATGACAGATTTAGGGGCAGATCCTATATCTTGGTTGGCTCTGGCTGATTGTTCGAACGCCGAAAAGTTACTGAGATCGCGCAATGACTGTGCCACCTACCAATCTTTCTCGAAGTAGTTGAGCCTAATTTCGCGAATATGCGGGTGGTTTTTTGAGTACATTCCTGTAGAGGAAATCAAGTAGATCATTTCTAAGAGGAAATCAAGTAGATCATTTCTAGAAAAAACCCGAATTCTATCGGGAGAAAAAAAGCCGCGAAAAAATCCGCAATAATTATGCATCAACTCTATAGGGAGAAAAAAGCCGCGAAAAAATCCGCAATAATTATGCATCAACCTAAAATCTATCGGGAGAAAAAAAGCCGCGAAAAAATCCGCAATAATTATGCATCAACCTAATATATTTGGTTGTTCGGAAGGGAATGCGCGTTGAATTTGTCCTTTTCATTTCTCCACTACTATGGGAGGTTTTTCAAAACAGTTTTGTCTGTTAGAAAGATGTTTTCATTGCGCATCTTTTGATGTATTTTTGACTATGTCTACTTTGTTTTTTTTTTCGAGAAAAAAATGTTTGAAATGTGCTCGACCGAAATTCCTTTTGCGGGCTTGCATGTGGTACAACTTCAAGCAAGGAAAGTTGGCTGCTGAATCTCATCGTGCCATATCTGAAGTATACGGTAAAGAAGCCCTGTCAGAAAGCCAGTGTCTACGATGGTATCAGCGTTTCAAAAGCTTGGAGGACGAAGAACATGGGAGTCGGTCTCAATTCGTCGATAACCAAGTGCTGAAGACCGTCATTAAATCGGATCCACACCGAACCACCTGAGAACTGGAAACACATGTTGGCTGCTCAAACTCTACCATCCATGAGCATTTGCTGGCAATTGGTAAGACGAGCAGTGCGGAAAATGGGTGCCGCACCAGCTGAGCGAGGCAAACCAGGCAACACAAGTGGCGATGGCCGAAATTCTTCTTCATCACTCCAAGGATGGCGGTTTTTTCAACTCTAATATTGCCTCAGGCGGGAAATGGATCTGCTTCGACAACACAACACGAAAAAGACAGTGGTTAGACGCCGGTGTCACTCCGAAACCCACTCCGAAACAGGATATACACGGCAGAAATGTGATGCTCTGTGTTTGGTGGAATAGCAAAGGTTGAGTACTTGGAAGTCCTGAATTCGGATCAACCGGTCACAGCGGACATTTACGAAGATCAATTGAACCGCGTGGATCAAGCACTGCGTCGTCAAGGTGTCGAAACGACATCGACAAAATTCCTCCACAGCGCTCGTCCATATGTTGCGAAAACCACCTTGGAAAAAAATTGAGGAATTGGGCTGGGAAGTACTGCCTCATCCGCCATACGGCCTAGATCTCGCACCATCCGATTACCATTTGTTCCGGTCAATTCAGCACTCCTTAACCGCGAAAAGTGCAACTCAGGGTGTCCAACTACTTTGAGTCGCAGCCGGCCGAGTTCTTCAGAAGAAGAATCCATTCTTTGCATAAACGTAGGCAACAAGTCATTGATAGTAATGGAGGATATCTTTTGAGTTGATCTTGTTTAGTTTCGTTTTTATAATAAAAAAATTTTTGAGCTCAAACGCGCATTCCTTTCCGAACAACCTCATATATATATATA